CATTCAGAGGCAGAGTGTAAAAATCCTTCGCTGGTGTAAAACAAAAGCAGGCGATCAAAGGACGATTAGGTCTGATACACATCTGTCTTACTGTGTTAAATCTACTGTTACCTCTCAGTTTCTACGACTGTCACCTGTAATAATTAAACTTAAAGCTCTGTTGTGTCGTCCGCAGAGCTCCAACTACTGTCTGACCAGATTTGAGGAATCCTTGCCAACACTGAAGTATTTGCATATCTCATGTGTCTAATTAACACGGCATTACTGGATTATAGCTGGAAAAATAACTTAAACATCCACACAGGGTTTTATTTGTTTATCTAATTAACAGACAAAAGAGCAAACACGATTATATAAGAAGTAGTAAAGCAGCAGATGTCGTGTCGAGGTGTTAAAGTTGATTTAAATCGTAAATTTATCGTTCTGCAGTGTTTCACTCATAACTCCACAGGCCTGGACAAAAAGTCCAGTGTTGATCCTATAGTCATTCTGCAGCAGAGCACTGTGCGCCTCTAACTGCACCACGCGAGTCCATGAATGACACAAATGTCTGTGGTGAGTTTACGTCCATCCATTTTAACCACTTATCCAAAGCTGGGTCGTGGGGGCAGCAGGCTGAGCAAAGTATTCCAGACGTCCCTCTCCCCAGCAACCCTTCCCAGCTCCTCCTGGAGGACCCCGAGCCGTTCCCAGACCAGAAGAGGTATATAATCCCTCCAGTGTGTTTTGGGTCTGCCCCGGGGCCTCCTACCTCCCGTTAGAGGAACACGGGAGATGCCAGGGGGCATCCTCATCAGATGCCCACGACTCCTCCAAGAATGGCCACCTTATCATGGTTTAGGGGTTTGCATGTGATCCTAGGAGCTGTGTTGTCCAGGGCTAATAGCCCCTGGTAGGGTCTCCCAAGGCAAAGTGGTCCCAGGGGAGGGGCCAGATTAAGACCTTGATGGTTCGGCCAATTTGAAAACTGCCCAAACCACCTCAAATGGCCCCTTTTTATGCGAAGGAGCAGTGGTTCTATTCAGAGCTCCCTCTGGATATTTGAGCTCCTCACCCTTCCTAGGAAACTCATTTCCGCTGCTTGTATCCATGATCACATTCTTTCGGTCACGACCCAGAGCTCATGACCACAGGTGAGGGTTGGGACGTAGATGGACCAGGAAATCAAAAGCTTTGCCTTCAGGCTCAGCTCCCTCTGAACCACGATGGTCCAGTGCAGTGCCTGCATCACTGCAGATGCCGTGCCAAACCACCGATCCATCTCACGCTCCATTCTACCCTCATTTGTGAACAAGATCCCAAGATACTTGAACCCCTTTGCTTGGGGCAGTAACTCTCTCCCAACACAACTAAATCTTTATCAGTTTTTTTGAAAATACACATGGACTGCTCTTCATATTGGCATAAATTAGATCAGCACTTGTTTGTATATATATCCAGTGTGTTCTGGGTCTGCCCCAACAATTTCTTTAAATCTGGCACAAACGTCCACTTGAACTCAACAATGAAATGCTACAATCATGGTGGTCACAGGCCAAAGGTTAAGTTCACTGTGACCTTGCATCTACCTCACTCTCGTGAACATCATATCCCAAGAATGCCTGGAGGGAATTTCCTCAGATTTGGCACAATCGCCCACTTAGACTCAACAATGAAGTGATTGGATTGCTGTGGTCACAGGATAAAGGTCAAGGTCACTGTGACCTCATCTGTCTTATTCTTGTGAACACAATAACTCAAGAACACCTTAAAGGAATTTCTAAACATCTGGCACAAATATCCACTTGAACTAAATGAAATGCTACGATCATGGTGGCCACAGGTCAGTGGTCAAGTTCACTGTGACCTTGCATCTACCTCATTCTCGTGAACATCATATCTCAAGAATGCCTGGAGGGAGTTTCCTTAGATTTGGCAAAAATGTCCACTTGGACTCAACAATGAAGTGATTAGATTGCTGTGGTCACAGGTTAAAGGTCACGGTCACTGTGACCTTATCTGTCTTATTCTTGTGAACGCAGTATCTCAAGAACACCTTGCGGCAATTTCTTTAAATTTGGCACAAACATCCACTTGAACTAAACAATGAAATGCTACAATCATGGTGGTCACAGGTCAGAGGTCAAGTTCACTGTGACCTTGCATCAACCTCATTCTCGTGAATGCGATACCTCAAGAACACCTCAAGGGAATTTCCTCAGATTTGGCACAATCATCCACTTAGACTCAACAATGAAGTGATTAGATTGCTGTGGTCACAGGATAAAGGTCAAGGTCACTGTGACCTTATCTGTCTTATTCTTGTGAACACAATATCTCAAGAGCACCTCAGGGTAATTTCTTTAAATTTGGCGCATGCGTCCAATTTGAGTCAAGAATGAAATGATTAGAATTTGGTGGTCCAAGGTCAAAGGTCAAGGTCACTGTGACCTCACACAAGACTTTTTTGGCAATAACTCAAGATGTTATTGCCAAAAATGGATGGATGAACGAAATATAAAGAAAATTTTACTAAACTTTAAATCGTTAAACATGAGAATGAAATCTAGTGTAGGGGTGGACGGCAGGCTCACCAGGCGGGCCAAAGCAGTAAACCGAGAGGAAACACTGTTCTGTAGTATATTTTTACACTGTTACTCCCACAGTCTCACTGTGTGTAGGAAGACTTTCAGTTGAAAATGTGATATTAACATATTAGGATCATGTTAGATCAGGAGACCCAGCACCTAACAGGAGTCTACGCCATGCTAGCAGCGGCACTATGACACAGCATTAGCATGCTTCATTTTACCTGCTGGTGTTCAGCGGGGGTAATGTTCACCGCGTTCACCATGTTCGTTTTAGTCATTAGTGCCAACATGCTAATTAGCAGAAACCACAAAGTGACTTTAAGAGCTGAAATTGCAGTTATTAAACTCACCACTTAATTTCACTGACTCACTCACTCACAGGATGATTGAGAGTAAAGCATCGGTCCAGTTGTTGGAAATAAAAAGGCACCTGGATGAATTCACTGAGTAATCAGACAGTATTGTCATCAAACCACAGAAATATGTTCGTCAGGTCTGAACAAGTCATAGACTAGATTTCTCCAACCATCGAGACGTCTGATGAGCTCGTGTCAAAGCATGTCACAGTATCTAATTATAACAATGTGCCTGCCTGAAGCAGAGAGCCCGCGGGCCTCGGCTGTCTGCCCGCTCAGAAGAACACGTCTTGTTCTTTTCCTACCTTGATGCGGCGTGCTGTGCCCCGCAGGTGCGACACAATTATCTCACTGACTAATCAAACGCTGATTACACTTACAGTATCTGTTACAGTTTCTGCCTGAAATAACCAGTCTCACAGCACACCGTGTCACAGGTACGTATAGTCAGCTGCATCGGATGACACTGACCGTGTACCTGAGCGGACATGTGTGTGTGTGTGTGTGAGACTGAATTTCACATTGTTTTTATTTAACCCAGGGGTGTATTTGGTGACCCAAATGTCAACGTAGGTAACAAGGATATCTAAAGTAATTTAATACAACTTAACACGGCCTTCCTGAACTGGCACTTTAATTAATGAAAATGTTAAACAGAAAAAAATCAATAATTTATTCAAACAGAAAACTGACGTTCTGTCAGTCATTGTTAATTTTGACAGTCTTGAGACAAAATGTCACTTATAGTTGTCTTATAGTTTTGGTTGACGAAAAGTCAAAACGTTTTCGTCAACTTTTAGTCATTATGTCGTCTATATGTTTTTGTGATCTTTAAACTAATCCAGTGAGGCTAATTCATGTTCAGAGTGGAGTCCTGCACGGATCAGCTGTGAAGTCCAGCAGGTGGTGGCTGTTTGCTCTGCTGCCGTTCAGCAGCTAACAAGCGGAGCTAGCTGCTAACAGCCACCGCTGCAACAAACAAACTACAAATCCATTCAGCAGCACCAACCGAAACATCCTGGTGCAGACTATTTCCTGGAGTTTACCAGCCTGTCGCTCATCAGGCATCTGAAGAGAATGTCCGATATTCCATCACTAACATTTTCGTCTCGTCAACAAAAATGAAACACAGATTTTATCGTAGCTTTTATCATCAAGATCTATTTTTAGCTCGTCATCATCTTGTTTTTGTCATAGAAAAAAAGGTAATTAATTGAAAAATTTTCTTCATCTTTCATCAACGAAATTAACACTAAGGTCAACATAAGGTATTCTGCGTATGTACTCATTTCCACGCCTCTGCCTCATACGCGCTAACTTTCACTCAGTCCCTCCCAGCTTTGTGACTAACAGAAAACATTAGAAGGCGGGACACAACACGGTGTATTACGTTCTTAGATATGTCATGTTCTAGTCACTGAAACTCCTGCTTCCATTCACTCCTAAATCTCTGTTGCTGCCGTTTCTGACAGTCCGTCCCTCCAGGATTTCACAGGCTGATTGTGGGATTGTTGCAGTCTGCAATGATTTCACGGCAGCTTTTCTAAAATATTGCCATGTGTGTTGCAATGTTTTTGGCAGTTTTAACAATAAATTGTTCCAAGATGGAGACTGTTCAGACACACTACCCTTAAAAGTGTGATTCAAGTTTCAATTTTCTGTAAACCATTTCTTCAAAAGAACAACAATTGTGTAATAACGTATTGTGTATACTGTGTACCGTGAGAGCATGATATTTTCTGAGATGAATATTGTACCATAAAAACCTCGTACCACTGCAGCCCGACCCACAGTATGAGTAAGGCTGCTTTCACACCTGCCCTGTTCGGTTCGGTCAAACTCAGGTGTGTTTGCCCCCTCAGTGCGGTTCATTTGTACAGGTGTGAACACAGCAAAACAACCAGACTGAGACCTTCTTGAAGAGGTGGTCTGAGAACAAACTTAGATACACTGAAAACCATGTGTGCAGTGATGCAAGACACTAAAGCTGCTGCTTTTGTTTCAGTCATTCAGGGCTGAGATTTCAGAGTTTGGTTCTGTCACTCACTAAATAAAGGCAAACGGGAGAACCAACCTGGTGCTGAGAAGACGGAGGACGTTCTCACTCGATGACACAAGCATCAGATGGTGTTTTGGGGATGAGCGTCTTTGTTGAAATAGATGTTCCTGAGCTGGTCTGCAAACACTGAAACATAATGAAAAACCAATCTTAGATGTGGCAATAACATACATTTTTTTCTATAAACTAATTTTTTCAATTGATAAAAAGAAATCTAATTAAATCTGGACTCCAAACGTCAGACGGCTGCGTATTGATCCTGCCTCATTATCACTTTAAACTCAGCAGGGACACCAGCTGTGGATCAAATCATGTGAAGCTGCAGAGTATATAGGACAGCACTGTGTGTGTCTTTGTTGTACTTGTTAATCTGATTTAGTTTAAATGAAAAAAAATCTACTCATGATCTGAATGTTCAGACTCTTTATAAGAAGGTCAACTCGTGCCTCAAGTCACATCACATGGCTCTGATATCAGGAAGAATTTCCCAACTCCTATAAAAACAGTCCTCTTCCTCCGTCTCACTTCTGCCAGCTTTGACCTGGTGAGCTGAAAGCTGAGAACACACTCCGTTTACCAACCAGTGACACGGCGGCTGTTAATGTCGTAGCGATAGTGACAAGCCGAGCGGAGCCGCTGGCCCGTAGCAAATCCTGAAGCAGGACTGAAAAAAAACGTCTAAATTACAAAACAAACATCATGTTGACCCAAAGCTGACCTTCACCATCAGGCTGCACGTTACTTCCACTCCATTTACTTCCTGTGGTGAGTCTGGCCCCGCTGCTGCTATTTCCACGTACATGTCGCTGCCTCAGGCTGCCATTACTGTCCTCCTCTCAGTCTTATTTATCATCAGGCAGAAAACACTCACTACAAACATTAAGAACTTTACAGTAACATAAATGACATCAGAAAAACACTGAACAACAGGACGGATGCACAGACGGGTCCGTACGAATCAGAAGTCTGCTCTAAGCCAAAAAAAATCTTTATCGGCTCATTCTACCTGCTCTTACACCAATCAGTTGGTCAATAAAGAAAAAGAGACTTGCATATATTAACTAAATCAGCCACAGGTCACTGAGTGCACTCTCCCTGGTAGTGTTGCGTGCAGGCCCACAGGAAGTGCACTGCAGTTTTCCTAGTGACCACACAGTGGCACTGCAATGCCCGGGACCTGTCAGTTTTCCTTTCAGGTCTGTGAAACTTTTTTTTTTTAAGCGTCACAACCCCCATGCAAAGACTCGTTTTAATTTCAAGATTTTATCCATTCAATCTGAAAACATTTGGAAAGTCTGGAAGACCTGCAAGATTAAATCATTTAACCTCATTCAAGTTAGAAAATTGCTAAACCGGAAATTAGCCATTTGGCTGTCAGATGTTGGCAACTCGACTGCACAGTGGGAGTGGGAAGGTGTGCACTCTCCACCTTAAAGCTTTCCACGTAGGCGCATGGAAGGGCAGAGAGGCCCAGAGCAGAGCCATACCACCAAATACAATACTGCAATGGAAAGTGACAAAAGTGGTCCTGCTTGAAATGTTCTGCATCTCCACACACAACGTCTCTTCAAAACAAGCGTCCATTTTGTTTTCTTCTTCTTGTCAAACTACCACATACGCCACCAGCTGGACTGGAGTGTGGAACTAGAGATTATATTCTATAACTGGAGCATGCGTCATTGGTGCATTTCCAATGTGTGCAGCCCGCACTATCACAAATTTCGGGTTGCCTGTGTCCACACTGGAGCCAGCGCTGACCCCCATGGGCACAGGTAGATGATGTCTTAAATGGCACATGGACTGAAGCAAAGAAGCTTAGAGTGTGAATTAGCCGTGACACCATGATGTTTGCAGAGTAAGAGCTGACTCTGATGTTCAGAGGTTATCTGATAAGAACATAAAGACAAACAATAACAGCGCTGCTAATGTGCTTTCTGGAGCGGGGGGGTCTGGAGCATGACCTTTACTGCAGGGTGCCTCCCTTGTTTCAGTCTCGATTCCCTGCACAGTGTCTCTGCCCCGTCCCTCCATCTCTCCGAGATGCTGAGAGCAGCAGGATCTCAGAAGAAGACTCTCTCAAAAGTCACGGTGTGAGCTTTACTGTACAAGACTGCTGAAAGCCCCCGAGGGGCGGAGGAAAGGCCTCGACCTCTCCGCAGAGGTTCATTCGGAGCAGGGAGTCTGTCCTTCAATGTAATCTCTGGACCACTTCCTGTTGTGGCCACTCCTGACGCCGGTCTCAGTTCCTTTCTCCATAGGACACAGAGTACGTGTGTGTGTGTGTGTGTGTGTGTGTGCTGCGTACAGCGAGGATCTGCGTGTACTCTCGGAGAACATTTGAGTGAGAATCCTCCCTGGAGGCGCGAGAGCTTGTTATAAAGTCTTTCTCTCATCCTGCTGAAGCAGGTTTTTTTTGTCTTTCCTTTTATCCACTGAAACAATACAAGCCCCCGGAGAGACGCTGCTGACAGAGAGAAGAGACTGCGCAGCAACACAGGCAGAGATGGAGGGAGGAGAAACAGAACACAGAGTGCCACAGCGACAGCAAACACACCGTCACTAATGGATGATGCCGTCCCCCCTCTGGGCCAATCAGAGTCATTTAAAGAATGGCGGGATGCAGCAGTGTGAGGGCGGCACCGACCTGCTGCTACACTAATGTTGGCAACCCTCCTGCACTCACCTGAGATTTATTTATAGATTACAATGAATAGTTAATTTTTTCCTTATTCACTTTGTTGACCTTTGACCTTCTGTACACTGCACACTCATCAGCAAACAGAGAAATGATGATACATAACTTTTATTTCATGCATCACACTCAAACTTCATTAAGTAGTTTATGTTTGTAGTGCACACATTTAGTCAACCTGCGGACAGTCAGCACTTTAGTTTTAGTTGTTCCAGTTCCTCTGAGTCATCAGTGCCGAGGGTCCCACCACTGGTTACTGCAGCTGAAGCAGGCCGCAACAAAACATGCAGCCCCAAGGCCTCGATCACACACAGAGCGTTATGCATGAGACCCTAAAAAAGAGGCTGGATCATGGGGAGTACCACCAGTTGGTCCAGGAGCTTCTCCTCCATCATGGACGTTTACAGTACTGCACTTATCTGCTGTTTTCTATTCAGATGGTGCTAACTGTGCTTTGTAAAGTCGTATAGCTCTGGGCATCCAGCAACCACTACCACCAGTTTCTCCTCCATTGTTCACCAACTGTAAACTTGTTGTCGTGACCACCACAGAAGCCCCGCCTCTCAAATCATCTCACTGGACAATGGGGGGAAAGCGGAGATGACGTGAGGGGCTTTTCCACTCTGGGTTGAAGTTTGTTTGTTTTTAGGGCCTTCTTCTTCTTCTTCTTCTTCTTCCTCCGAGGAAATCATACTTCCCATGGGTGAAAACTCACCAAACTTTGCACAAAGGTCCAGTCTCATGCCAGATATCCTCAGCTGTAAACTCAAGCCAATAGTCCTGATGGTGGCGCTACAGCAAGCGTCTAAAGTTCAAAACTTTGAAAATTCATAACAAATCAACCATACGTGGTACAACTTCACAACTTTCATCAAACTGTAGCCCCAATACTGAAGAAACTTTTGTACATTTAAACCTATTAAAAATTATGAAGTTCATCACTCTGTTTTTTTCAAAAACTGTAAAACTTCTTAAACCTATCTCCTCCCACAATTTTTGCTCAATTGACACCAAACTTGCTACAGAGCATCTTCAGACTGTCCTACAAAAACTATGTTTCTCAGATTTTTGATTTATCAAAAATTGAGCCTACAGTGCATCAAAATGTTTGACTGTAAACGGTACTGTAAACATATACATGCAAATTCTTGCTAAATAAATCTTCAATGTTCATGAAAAAAAGACAAAATTCTAGAGTCATGGTAGATGATGTGTGGCAAATTTCAGAATTTTATCTCAAAAACTGAATTTTTGACAGCATTTTGAATTTTGCTCTAATGTGAACAATTGGAGTCAATGTAAAAATGGCAATTTTAAACATCAGTTTTTCACTTATGGAGCAAATCAATCATTGTTACAAACAAATTACCAACATCTCCATGCTGTCTAGATGCAATATGTGTATTTTCAGATTTTTGTCTCAATAACTGAATTTTTTACAGTGGTTTCAAATCTGCTTTTCCATGCATGGACGGCTGCTAAACCTGCACGTCTGGCTTAGTCAGTTTGTGAAGCTACACATGAATTGTCACTGACTAATTAGCTCAGTGAGATAGAAATTGATCCTTAGTCTCAGAGGTTGTGAGTTCAAGCCTCAGCTGATGAAAAAGGCAGATTGTGTTGCTAAATGTCTTCCAATTCTTCTGCTTTGTTGCTCAGAATTGCCTAAAAATGCCCGGACCTGACACATCGCTTTTTATTGCATTTTCACATTGAAATAAACAGAGTGCTGCTTTCACTTGCATCTTGTGCTACTTTTCAGCTAATGTATAAATCTCTGCATCAAAATAAGACTTAAAATAAGGCGCCTCATTACCTGAATACTGTGCGTTTCTTATAGATATGTATCTACATTGTTTTTTGTTTGTCTGTGTGTTTTACAGCGTGACGTGCTGCAGCAGCACTGTTATGGATGTCTGAGTCAGTGCTGGCTTAAGACATAAATTCAGTGAGGTAACGTTAATCTTCTCAGCCTTCATGTGTTCATCGTACTGCAGGTTGAGAGGTTTTTGATTGAGGTTTCAGACAATGATGATGATGATGCTGATAGTTGATGAACGGATGATTTTCATTTTGCCCGTCTGCAGTCTCAACACTCAGTAAAGTTTTCCAACACTCAGTAAAGTTTTCCAACACTCAGTAAAGTTTTCCAACACTCAGTAAAGTTTTCACAGGCTGCTGCTGCACACTGATGACTGATTATGTTAATTTAATTCATTTAATTTATTTCATTAAGTTCATTTAATTGTCGGAAGCTAAAATCAGGATCATGATTAATATTTGATTAATCGTGCAGCCACAGCATGAGGAGGATTATTATTATATTGATTTTTTTTTTAGAATGTATTAGTTTTTGTTTTTGTTAACTTTTTAATTATTCATGTTGATTGTCCCATTTTATTTGTGGCTTAGTTGGTTCATGTCATGTCATCAGGCTGTAACCTGTGACAGGCTGTTATGATACCACAACTATCACACATTCGCACGTAGGTTTGCATCACCAAAGGTTTGTGACAGAATCAGAGAGGAGAGGGAGAGACGCTGTGCTGCTGCCAGAGGAGCCGCTGAATGAGTTCCCTCTGAGCGCTAAGAGAAGGAAAAGTTTATTCCACACTACTGAAGCTGCTCCTCTTTTTGGAACCACCAAGGAGTCAGGAATAATTTCGCTTTCAGCCTTGACATGGCACACCCGACTGAATATTTAGCTGATTTCAACATGTAAAACATTCCAAGACTTCTCCTTTAGCGACAGTTGGACACGAAATCAGGGCCAGCGAAAGGTAAGGAGAAACATTTCATCCCTCTGTAGAGATCCTTTCCATACTGTTAACATACACTTCTTGTAACAAGAGCCTGAGCGGCAAAAACAAACTTTTATTGGACGTACATTGACGGTGCACAGCTGCTCACAGTGACTTTACTGCAGCCTGTTTCGCTCTCTCTCCTTCAATACTGGATCAATGTCAAAAATCGCCTCCATGAAGAACTTGGACACGAAAACAAAAAGGGTTCAGGTTCAAAATTACCAAAATTTCCCATTAATTTTCATCCACTGACCTGTTGTCTTGTTTTGTAGAATAATGTGCAGTGTTTAAAATAGGATTTGGTTATTGAAAAATGTGATTTCAAATGGTTCTTATAAGATATGCAATATCTTGTCAGACAATGTTTGACCTTATAGATTACAATGTGCCCAATTTGTAATGTTTTTAAGTGTTTTCTTACTTTTAGACAAGTCAACTAGTCCAAGTTTAAACATCAGGGAAATCATTCGTGAGAACACCCCTCCTCTGTGTTTCCCCTTTGGTTTGGTTTCTTTCATTTTTTTGGTAAATAACCCCCCTTTATTTAATTTTTTAATCGACATGTGCCTCCTCACGCCTGCCAGCTCGCTCCGCCACATCCAGTGAGATGAGATTAATTAAAATCTGATCAGCGGTGTTTCTGGGATGACGCGTGGATAAACAAACAAATGATTGACGTGATGCCCCCTGAGGGCCAATCACTGTAATTTAAACACATGGAAACACATTGATGAGCGGAATCATCTCCTCCAGGTTTGCACTAATTTCATCAGGAGTGTGTGAGATATTGAGTGTGACACCTGGACAAACAATCGTAAAGATTAGTACCCCCCCCCCCCCCCCCCCCCCCCCCCCCCCCGAGTGTTGGTGCTGAAACACTCAGAGCAGAAGTTGGATGCATTGAGTTAAAATCATGTTTGTGATGTCTGAGGTACCAAAACAAACCCAACAGCACAATGCTGATCCTGCTTCGTTCTTCTAAGTCTCTTATCAATAAAGACTGTGCGTCGTCAATGAGGCTGATAAAAGAAAAAAGAAAAATTATTTCTTATTCTTGTCTCATTTCCTTTTTAACGAGAAATACCGCCTCGTGATTGTAGCCCTCCACAAACTTAGCAGTTACACTTTACATCCATGTCTGTGAAAACATGTTGCTTCAAGTTCATCCTTGAGTCAAAGTAGACGTTTGTGCCAAATTCGAGGAAATTCCCTCAAGGTGTTCCCAAGGTATCACATTCATGCAAATGAGAAGAGATGCAAAGTCAACGTGACCTTGAAACACCAAATTCTACTCACTTTATCTTTAAGTCCAAGTGGACGTTTGTGCCACATTTAAGTTAATTTAAAATTGTAATCATTTAATCCTTGACCCAAGTGACGTTTGTGCCAAATTTGAGGAAATTCCCTCAAGGTGTTCTTGAGACATCACGTTTATAAGAACACAAAGGGCGAGGTCACATTAACCCTTGACCAGCGCAATGCAATCAGTTAATTCTTGAGTCAAAGTAGACATCTGTGCCAAATTTGAGAGAATTCTGTAAAGGCCTTCTTGAGGTATCACATTCATGGATGGATGCAAGGTCACAGTGACCCTGACCTTTGACCACCAAATTCTAAACACTTTGAACACCAGAACCTAATCAGCTTATCTTTGAAGTCTATCAAGTCTATCAGTCTATCTATCAAGTGGACATTTGTGCCAAATTTAGAAGAAGAAAAAAAACAACTCCCTTGAGGAATTCTTGAGATATTGCGCTCACGAGAATGAGACAGTCTGACAACTGAAAAGCATGATGCCTCCGGTCACGGCCATCGCTGGCGCCGAGACATAAAAATACCAAATGGTACAAAAGAACCAACGGGGTTGATTCTAGTGTGGTTACATACCTGAATAATTAATTAAAGAACGTGTAAACAATATTATAAATCTGACCAGACATTTGATGCCAGCTTTTGGTACTTAACCGTTGTGCATATACAGAGATTTAAAGCTGCACTGCTTTTTTATCAGCAGTGTGTAATGTGAACAGAAGAGCACAGTGTCGACTCCAGAGAGAGTTCTCACCCTCGGCCTCACACCAAGTTTTATCATGTTGTAACGTATTATTTTGGTTTTACTGTCCTCCAGCTTCGATGTTATCGTTCACATCCAAGTAGCCAAAAAATCAATTATTACTGTCATAACAGGAGGCAGACAGCCAGACGCAAAGGGTTTATGTTTTCTTCTCTGCCTTGTTCCCGACCTCAATGTCTTTAGGTCATTGGCCAGTTTTCAAGATAACAGGCTCTGTTTGAATCCGCTTTATATTATCCTGCCTTTATCCCACATTACTGACGGGCACAGTGGATCCCTCTGTGGTGGGCAGGGAGGGCACCTCGACATCAGCGAAATGTTTTCTTCATGGAAAAAATACTTACAAGGCAATTCTTACAACTTGTAAGCAGAAAGAGAGAAATGTTTTTACTAAGGTTGGTATTTTTGGGGTTTCTATCAGATACTGATGCTAAAATCCATGCATCCATTTTCAACCGTTTATCTGGGCCGAGTCGTGGGGGCAGCAGACTGAGCAAAGTATTCCAGACGTCCCTCTCCTCAGCGACGCTTTCCAGCTCCTCCTGGAGGACCCCGAGGCGTTCCCAGGCCAGACGAGATATGTAATCTCTACAGTGTGTTCTGGGTCTGCCCCGGGGCCTCCTACCAGTGGGACGTGCGCCCAGGAGGATCTTGATCAGATGCCCGAATCACCTCAACTAACCCCTTTTGACGCGCAGGAGCAGCGGCTCTACTCCAGATGTCTGACTCCTCCCCCTATCTCTAAGGCTGAGCCCAGACACCCTACAGAGGAAACTCATTTCGACCACTTGTATCTGTGACCTCACTCTTTCGGTCGAAAGCTTTGCCTTGGTAACACGGCACTTCACACACAGAAGATCTATACAACCTCCAAAGTTTCAAGGTGGACACCCAAGATGAGGTCACCAATTCTGGTCAAGGTCAATGTGATGCAAGGTAACGGTGATCTTGACCTTTGACCACCAAAATCCAATCAGTTAATCCTTGAGTTCAAGAGAATGTTTGTGCTGAATGTCAAGAAATGCCCTAAAGATGTTCTTGAGATATCATGTTCACAAGAATGAATCAGGTCACATTGACCTTGACCTTTGACCACCAAAATCCAATCAGCTTAGTGTTGAGTCCAAGTGGACGTTTGTGTCAAATTTAGAGATTCACTTGGGGTGTTCTTGAGATATCACATTTACAAGAATGAGAGAAACCAGGTCCCAGTGACCTCGAACTTTGACGTATGTCCGCTAACAACTAATCAGTTTATCACTGAGCCCGAGTGGGCATTTGTGCCAAATTTAAAGAAATTCCCCTGAGGTGTCCTTGAGATATCGTGTTCACAAGGATGGGACAAACAACCCGAAAACATAACCCCTCCAGCCACGGCTGTCGCTGGTGCTGAGGCATAAAAATTGTTTTTTAAAAGTTACACTCAACCTGCATGTACACAGAAATAAAAAGTATATCCAGCCCTGAATAATCTTGATGGATGTTATGAATATTTTAGTGTTTGTTCCATTTGCTGTGGTCGGAGAACTGGTGGTGGCTGCGAATGTGGAAAGAAAAAGAAAAACAACTACTTTGGAAATAAACCAGCGAAGAGGAAACAGGCCCCAGAGAATAAAGTCTCTCAGGACTGTCTGCACAGGACGCCATGACAATCCATCCGACCACTGGCGGGGTGTTTGGCTAAAGTGGCGTGCCGATGGACCGGCCAATGGGCAGGCTGACGGTGCATTTAAAGAGCCAACAATAACAATCACAGCAAAGCTAAAACATGATGAAATCTAAAAACACAGGGCTCAGCGTCAGAGCACAGAGGTAAAAAGTTTACATAGCGAGGACAAACAATCGGCCTCAAGGAGAAAATGTTCCACTTTAACCGAGGAATGTTCCTCATCTAATCTAATCAAACTATTGAGAACATTACAATTTTCTGATTAATAATGTTCCCAAACACACGTAACGGGACCTCTGCAATAAAACACTCGTCTTCCCACAACTGTAAATGTCATGTTTAGAGCCCGTGCTCCTTCACATCGCAGCAGTAACAACATTAAAACTGAATTAAAGCTCCGTGTCATGGTCCTGAAACAACACGGTGATTCTCAGCCGATTTAAGACCTTCTCTCCCGGTCATTTCCTGTCAGATGGAGGGAGAATCGTCGCGGCTTACTGGTGTTTAATTTTGTGTGTGGGAGATGCGTGCCTCGATCTGGTGTTGAACACTGGAGTCTGTGTATTTAATATGTTTAGTATTTAATGTTCCTGCCTCCACAGAAAAGAACAGAACATTCCTCAGACGCTGGTACCAAGGAGGAGCCCTCGAGGCTCTTCTCTGATACCCTCTGTGTGTGTGTGTGTGTGTGTGTGTGTGTGTGTGTGTGTGTGTGTGTGTCTGTCTGTGTATGTGTGTGTGTGTGTGTGTGTGTGTGTGTGCCAGAGCAGTACAGCCTGTTTTATATTGTACTCAGTCAGGTATTATTATGTACAGTATGTTCACTCACCGGATGGTAACTTCTCTCTTTCTCTCAGTCTCTCTCTTTACCATGCAATTCTTTTTCTGTCTCTTATTCTCTCATTCACCTGCTCACATTCGTTCTTTTATTCTACTGCAAGACAAAACAAAACACAAACAAAAAACAACAGTGAATGCAGGCCATTGGCTGTCGTGTGTCTGTGTCTATACTCTACAGGTCTGACAGGTGAAAGGATGGGGGAAGAGGAAAATAAATAAATAGAAAATAAAATAAAAATGAAAAAAACAACAAAACATAACATCAAAGTACAGTAATAACAATAATAATAATGATAATTGGCCAGCAGTGAAGCAGCACCAGGGCATCACTCAGGAGTGAGACAAAGACTTAAAGTCATCAGCAAATTTCTAACAGTGTACCAGTTTCAAGGTATACGGTGTAGGGATGCAGGATGATATCGGTGCGTCATCACTTTCTGCCAATATTGGCTTTAAAAAGAACGAACAGCTCTCCAGTTCATATATTGACGATATTTGCAAATTGCAGTGGTGCTCCATGGTCACAAAATGTGACTAAATCGGCGTGACCTGGAGCACGACAGATAAGACAAGCTTTGCCTACTTACACAGTATCTGTCAGGGGAAACTGAAGTGGATGGGCAGAGGAGTGTGTGTTCTGAACCATGTTTGTTAAGGATGCACGATAATATTGTGCCGATATCGGCTTTCAAATGAACTATTAGAATCTGCCAACGTGCTTTTTCTTTTGATTTGCACTAGTGCTGCATGATTAATCTAATGGTGATGTCAGGCTGTGCGATCACATAACCGCATAAAAGGCTGCGATTTGCGATTTAATGTACATAAATGTTAACGTGTGTGCCTGTGAACGTGACTGCCTCTCCTGTAGTGTGTGGAGTTTGTTGACATCACGCCCACAAGCTGTCCTGGTGTGTGCAGCACGTATGGTCAGGTGACCAGCCGGCGTGCAGCAGTGACCAACACAGACGCTGAAGAAGAGCATGAGCATGACCATGAACAGGCTGAGTTGGTGGCGAGAAAAACGCAACGTTTATTACATGGCGATACTTTGGATTCAGGTACGGCGATGTTGAACAGAAAGACTGTGTAAAAGTTTAAAAGTTAAAGTCACCACGTCAACACGACCAATCTATATCAGCACTTGAGACAGCACAGAGAAAAGTAGAGAGAGTGCACGTGAGAGAAAGACAAGCCGTGTACCATTAAAGACAAAGAGTCAACTGAAAGACACCAGAGCCTCATAAACAACATCCAAGCACAGTTACGCAAACATCTGTAAGTGTCACGGGGAAATCACGGACTCCATAACAAACTAAATAATAACAAATGAAAAACTGAGCAAAATGTTGCTGGGGTTCGGCCCACTTGACACGCTGCTGTGTTGTGCTGGGGCCTGTTCACGTGCTGGAATCGCAAATCGCGATATTGTCCACTCACAATCGCACATTTTTATCAAATCATGCAGCACTAATTTGCACAAAGAATAAATATTACAGACACTGAACAGTATTTCATGTCTCCATCTGCTGGTGGGCCGTCACAATAAGAGTCTGTACGTATAATACCTACCTCATCCTGCTTGGTCAAGTCATCAGCTGCCACGGAATTTCATTCCATTGCTATGCTGATGACACACAGCTCTATGTAAATGCCACTGCTGCAACCCCACCTTCATCATCACAGTCATCCCCATCAAAACTCACCACCTGTCTGGAGGAGATAAAGGTATGGATGGAGCACAACTTCCTCCAACTCAACAGCTCCAAAACTGAAGCCATCCTGGTTGGCACCCTTCACCAGACCAAATCATCATCCACAACCAGCAACACCTTTTCTGGCTCCAACATCCCCCTCTCATCAACAGTCACAAATCTTGGGGTAAATATGGACCCCCAGTTCACCTTTGAATCCCATATCAGCGGGGGGAAAATGTGGATATATGGATATCGTTATGAGTTGTTACATATCGACATATCTGATATCAGCAAAAAATCCAATATTGTCCATCCCTGATACTGTGATATTATAACTGATGGTTATCGTACCGTGTACGTTTGCTTACTTACAATACTAAAAAGAAAATTAAGTTATTTTGGAAAGGAGAGACTTTTTACACAAACTTCCATAAAAAACAGTTTAAGTTTTAAATAAAGTTATAAAACGTTTGTTTAATCAAAAAATTCCTTTTCATTTTCACTCCTTTTTTCTGAGACATATCTTACAGTGAAAATCTCACACCATTGCAGCCCTACAACATAGTGTGGCAGTGTGTGTAGCATGCAACTCGACTGATGTGCATCATATGACCTGTGTCACCTGACGTGACATTACGTCAGAGACTTTAAAGCCAAACCATGGTGTTTTTTGTCACACATGCTTTTGTTGCCTAAACATCAGGAAGTAAAGCTAAAGACAAAGTGTTTCCTAAGTGCATTTTGAAAAAGCCTGTGTGCATTAAACAAGCAGAGACTGTACCTTGAACACTCACTGAATAAAAGTTAACTGACATCATTGACTGAGAGGAAAATAAACCTTTAGGAAACGTGTCTGATTGTTAAACAGCCATTCTGTATTTCTGGTGCCGACCAGTGAGGGTGGCAACCATTCACAGACTCGTAAACTCACCGCTCACATCTCTAAAAAATGGACGACAATGCACACTGACACTCACACCTATGGGTGCTTCAGAGCTGCCAGTTCACCTGACTGACACATCAGTGGAGTGTGGGAGGAAACCAGAGCACCTGGAGGAAACCAGAGCAGACACTGGGAGAACATTTAAAGCTGTACAGAGACACACAGAGAGTCCAGCTGGAGGCTCACACAGTGTTAAACCACTGCTCCTCTGTGCTGCACACTGACGGATATGAACTCAACTAAATTACAGAAATCTGATTTAAAGTTTTAGAACTGGGGAGGTCGACTGTTAACTTTTTATCGGTTAATTTATGACAATATTTCTGATTGATGATGTTGGTATACAGGTTTCGATAATCAACCTTGGTTTCTACTTACGGTTAATGAATCCTCATGTTTAACGGCGCTGCAGTAACAGTTGAACTTATTGAGTTTAATGATAGTGTGAGCAGAGGAAGCTTGTCTTTTTGTACCTACAGGGCTCAAGACTGTGACTTTTTAGTCATATTTTGTGACCATGGAGCACCACTGCGATTTGCAAATATTATTAACGTATGAACTGGAGAGTTATTAGTTTGTTTCCAGCTCACAGTGAATAAATCATCATGTTTCACAGCTCTGCGGCAACAGTTGAAGTTTCTGTTCACTAACGTCTGACTGCTGACCGGAAGCTTCGAGTTCACAGCAAGAACATCAACACTTCCTGCCAGAGACGAGCCAGGTGCTTCAAAATAAAAGCACAGGTGGTTCTGCTTTGATTTATTTTATCATAATAATGCCTTACTGAACTGTATTCTAACAGTAATTTATTTAACTATATTACAGTAGCATTCTATTTCACTTTATTATGACAGTAGCTACTTTATTTTACTTTTTTTTGTGACTGTAGTTCATTCATTCATTTTGTATTTCAGTAGTCTACAGTAGTTACATCATTTATCGTGATATAGGCCAAAAATATCGCAATATTATTTGTACACTATTTTGCCCGCACTAGGGCTACACATATATGACATTGAGATATTTTTTTATTTTTTATTTTTTTATATTCAGAATCTCTTTTGCAAGGAGTCCTGGCCAAGACAGCAGCATAATAGTTCCACTAAAAACACAATAGGTTAAAACAGACAACATGAAACAAACAGTTACAAAACAGTTGGCAATTCACTTCAAGACAGTATAATCACCAGCAGCGCTCAGTAACAGGACACGTGCATTCAGTACTCAAATAGTCCTTAATCCTACTTTAAAAATGTTCCATACTTGGCAGGTAATCCATTTTAAAATGTCTCTGTAACTCACACCAGGACGAGGGTGCGAATACTTTAAAGGCACTTTCACCAAAGACAGCTCGTGTTCGAGGAACGACATACATAATTTGTCCATCTGACTGAAGATTACAGCTCCTGGCGACTTTAGGAATCAAGAGAGAACATAAATAAGAAGGCAAATCACGCAACAAAGAGAGAGACTATATATCTTAAACCCATTTAGTCGTTCATTATTGATGATTATTGATCAATAACAATAGTCAATTGACTAGTCAGTCAATCAAAACAATCGTCATCTCTACAACTTTCTTGCATCAGAGATGGTCTTTGGTCAGAAATATTGTTATGTAACATTCACAACTCTTTTTCAAAGTTTAAAGTCTACAGCCCTATTGGGACGGGATTAGTTTAACGTGGAGACGTAGGGTAAAGTAATTATTACCAGGGATTTTAGTCCCGTTTGAACGCGCCATGTCTGTAATCATTACAGATAATGTCAGTTAAAATTACGGCGACTTTTACCTTCTGTAAAAGGGTCCGGAGAAAATACCTCGGGTAATATTAATCCTGTGCAAACGCAATCCTGAGACATCACCTTTAAGGGTACTTTTGATCTTTGACTTTATATTTTCCATATTTTTGTACCAGAAATATGGAAAATATAAAGTCAAAGATCAAAAGTACCCTTAAAGGTGATGTCTCATACATGTATAGAAAAAGACAAGTTTGCCAAATGTAATATTTATGATAGAACGTATCGTTCTACGTTAAACCAAAGAAAAGAAAATAAATAGATAAATAGTTTTCAGTGAAGTGCCTTTGAGGAGATTTAAAAATAATGAAATGTATATTGTGTATTGAGATATAACCTAAAAATATAGTGATATCATTTTCAGGACGTACTGTCCAGCTCTCGTGTGGATGTGCTGACAGTTTCAGAAAATATGACAAAATTCATTTTTTATAAAAGTTACCAACTGTAGCTTTAAATACATAAAAGATTATCTACAGTTATTATGTAATGAAAATAATTATTTACGTTGGTGTGGCCAAATGATGCAGAAGAATCAATGTTTTAATTTTGTTTGCATCAACAAATGTGCAGCAAATTATCATCGCTATCATTATTATTATTATTATTATTATTATTATTATTTATTTATTTAATCAGTCCTTCACTTCAACAATAACAATGTTGTAAACATGTTACATGTTAAGTATGTTACAGGTTACATGTGGACACTCATGTCAAGTTGAATACCAAGCTCAGTATAAATTGGATGGATGAGTCAAAGCCCCTCCCCCGCTCTGCACTACATGTCTGTGACATCACCGTGTCGTGGGACCTCGGGGACTGGGGCAGCGCTGCCTCCACAGCCCCTGTTATGTAACTGGTTTCCCTCAAACTGAGGCAGGCAGGGGGCGAGAGACTGGTTTTCTTCCTGTCTCCTCCTCCTCCTCCTCCTTCCTGCTCGCTATACATTAAGCCTCAACCTCAGAAAACCAGGACGCTGCCTTGCAGCAATGAGCTATGGGAAAATGGAGGGGAGGGGGAGGGGGGTGTTAGGAGTGGACGTCAAAAGAGGTCACGTCTGGCTGCGGGCGGAGATTATAGCTCTGTATGTACACACACACACACACACACACACACACGCAGGATTTTTACTTTCTTTGGTTTGTTGTTCGTGTGTTGCACGAACACATGGTTGTTTTTATGAAATGCAGTTGGCATTTACAGAACCTTTTTTGGCTTCATTGGATTAAGCTTTGCTTTTCTAAAGAAAATAACGCCCACTCAGAAAAACTGCCTTTCTTCCAAGAAAACACTGATGCAGCGACTCATAAACACTAATATATCTTTGGAAGGCTGCTGAAAACTAATAAAAACCACTGGCTGCCAAAATCATAACTGGGTTACTGGGGGAAACTCTTGTAAACAAGGTGAGTGCTTCCTGGGTAATTTTATGTGCGCCTGCTCTCTGCACTCCAGGGAAATATTATTTTTGGTTCCTGTTTCACACTCAGTTCTGGTTAGACGAGATTTTTCCTTCCTGTCCGGCTCCTCCGGAAATTTTCTACATGAAAGCATCACATGCATGTTCTTGAAGACGAGCGACGGATGAGTCACGGCTCGGCAAAAAATGTCACGTCTCCTCCAGTTGAATGTGATTTGCTCAGAAACAAAACGTGGCGTGACAGGAGGGTCGTACGAAACGGGAAGTGGTGCGTGATGCACGCGGTGTGGTGAAGGAACCTTTACTGTTAGTGTGACATTTTAGGTGAGCCTTCTGTAAGTGCAGGACATCACTCACAGTTTGTCCTGAGCCCTGAGCACTGCTCTGATTTTTCATTTAACCTTTATTTAACCAGAAAAACACTCTTTTTCAGAAGCGTCCTGGGGCTGAGGTATCATGATCGCGTACAAAAATCCAGTAGTGGAGCTTTTAAACGGTCCAGAGGGACCAATGAGTGCAACTTTTCTGCAGAGGACTCCACATATAAGGAGCTGCAGACATAAGTGCTCACTTGCCAAACTCCGTACGCACCCTCCTCGGCCAGCGGTTCCCCACTGGTCCAGATTTCACCTTAGTCGTTAGTTAAAGGTCTCACAGTTTGATCACACATGCATCTGGCCCTGTCATCGAGCTGTCTCTGTTAAATATTCATTCACTTTCTGTAACCACTTATCCTGTGAGGGGTCGCGGGGGGCTACCCCAGCTGACACCGAGCGAGAGGAAGGGTCACCAGAGCATCGCAGGGCTGACACAAAGAGACCTCAAACCTACGGATAATTTAGAGTCACCAATTAACCTGCATGTCTTTGGACTGTGGGAGGAAGCTGGAGCACCTGGAGGAAACCCACGCTGACACAGGGAGAACATGCAAACTCCACACAGAGGGGCTCCCCCACCCTGGGATTCAAACCACGAACCCTCTTGCTGTGAGGTGATAATGCTAACCACTGTGCCACCGTGCCGCCCTGCTGATAAGCAGCTATCCGTTATTCACTCTTCACTCTGTGCTGCACATTCACTGGACTTAAAATAAAGTGTCTTCTACAAACTTGACCCACTTTTGGGACCTGACCACTGATGTGTGTCCTGGTCACCTACCTTAACCCAGGGTGTCTTGACCTGCAGCTCGGGCCCCACAAAGACTCATCTGACGGTCCTCCACTGAAGCAGATGATGATGCTGCCCTCATCCTGGACACACAGAAATAAGCTTGCAGTTAAAGCAGCCACACATGAACACAATGCAGAGACTCCTGGCAGCCTGTCATGTGTAACTCAATCCATGGTGTCACACATTAGCACCACAGCTCAGCCTGCAGGGGCGGCTATAGGCTGATACCCAACATGACATATCTGATGCTGTCCTGTAACACATGCATGATTCATATCAGGTCTGCAGGAGCATTTCTGGCATACTTTGCCACAGTTTTACACACAGACCGACTCGGATATGTCACAGCAAAGGAATGCGCACGGCAGCATATCAGAGGCCACATATATAAGTGTACACAGCAGCCTATAGACTGCCTATATGTTGGCACAGAGCCCTATCTCTGTACCTTCACGATTCCTCTTGGATAACAGCTCTCACGCACCCGGGCTGCACAGCCATATAGGGCAGAGCGCAGGTTAACAGTTTCTTATTGCAACCATCTCCACCGTGCACTCTGGAGCCCTACCTGACCCAGGTGCGTCAACACACCGACAGAGAGGGAAGCACATGGCTGTCCTGCAGGGCGGGCTGCAGACGGCTCACACAGAGCTGCAGCCCGGTGCGCGGGCAGCTTTGCATTAACCTGTATGTACAGTAGAGTGAGAGTGAGCAGGCCGGCGCACAGCAGCGGCCGGGTTGACATGAGGACAGCACTCACGTTGCACCGCCGCCCCATAAAGAAGCTGATCGGCTCCTATATGAACAAAGTGACACTCACCAATGCTCGACTTGTGGTACAGAACCGCCTCCTGTGCCGTCAACATAAAGCCCCGTGAGGAAACAACAGCCGGATTAACACGTGAAGAGAAAAATAAAAAGCAGAACCAACAGAGATAGACGCGAGTCCAGCCGGTTAACAACCGTGTCAGCCGGCGGAGCTAACGCTTCTCCCGGTGTTAGCCCCCCGTTCAGTCCGCTGTGAGGTGTGAGGAGACGGGAGCGCCGTGTCTGTCAGGGACTGCCAGAGCCATGGCCACGGTCTGCACGGGAACTCTACGGCGTTTATTAGCGCTGTGTGCTCGGTCCTCCCCCCGCCTGTACAGTACGGGTGAATGCGGGTCAGGAGAAGCAGAGCTGCCGCCGCTCAGCTGCTTCATTAGCAGGCTCCGCTGCGCCCTCTACCGGCCCGACGGCGGCCCTGCACCGTGGGTTGCATAATCCCGGGGGCCCGGGGAATTAAAGGGGAATGACACCCGTTTATACCTGACAACAACATGCAGAGGAGAGGTGGTGAGGAAAACATTCACATACAGCTACTGGAGTATGTTATGAACTTAGTTTAGGGACTGTTCTTTATTTATCAGAGGACAGTGGTTGCATAATCCCCAGAGCCACTGAATTAAAGGGGTATGACACCTGGTTATACCTGGGAACATGCAGAGGAGAGGTGGTGGGATAAACATTCACATAAAGCTACTGGAGTATGTGGTGAACTTAATTTAGGGACTGTTCTTTACTAATCAGAGGAGGGCGGCTGCATAATCCCCAGAGCCAGTAGATTAAAGGGAAATGACACGTGTTTATACCCGGCAACATGCTGAGGAGAAAATAAGCAGTTAGAACAAAACATTCACATAAAGCTACCTAAGTTTTTGGTAATCTTAAATTAGGGACTGTTCTTAATTTATCAGAGGAGGGCGGCTGCATAATCCCCAGAGCCAGAGAATTAAAGGGGAATGACACCCGTTTATACCCAGCATCAACATGCAGAATGTAAATAAGTGATGGGAATAAACATTCACATAAAGCTACTTAAGTGTAATTGTTGGTACAGTTTGCTGAGGGACTGTTCTTTATTTATCAGAGGACAGTGGTTGCATAATCCCCAGAGCCAGTAGATTAAAGGGAATGACACCCAGTTATACCCGGGAACAACATGCAGAGGAGAGGTGGTGGGATAAACATTCACATAAAGCTACTGGAGTATGTGGTGAACTTAATTTAGGGACTGTTCTTTACTAATCAGAGGAGGGCGGCTGCATAATCCCCAGAGCCAGTAGATTAAAGGGAAATGACACGTGTTTATACCCGGCAACATGCTGAGGAGAAAATAAGCAGTTAGAACAAAACATTCACATAAAGCTACCTAAGTTTTTGGTAATCTTAAATTAGGGACTGTTCTTAATTTATCAGAGGAGGGCGGCTGCATAATCCCCAGAGCCAGAGAATTAAAGGGGAATGACACCCGTTTATACCCAGCATCAACATGCAGAATGTAAATAAGTGATGGGAATAAACATTCACATAAAGCTACTTAAGTGTAATTGTTGGTACAGTTTGCTGAGGGACTGTTCTTTATTTATCAGAGGACAGTGGTTGCATAATCCCCAGAGCCAGTAGATTAAAGGGAATGACACCCAGTTATACCCGGGAACAACATGCAGAGGAGAGGTGGTGGGATAAACATTCACATAAAGCTACTGGAGTATGTGGTGAACTTAATTTAGGGACTGTTCTTTACTAATCAGAGGAGGGCGGCTGCATAATCCCCAGAGCCAGTAGATTAAAGGGAAATGACACGTGTTTATACCCGGCAACATGCTGAGGAGAAAATAAGCAGTTAGAACAAAACATTCACATAAAGCTACCTAAGTTTTTGGTAATCTTAAATTAGGGACTGTTCTTAATTTATCAGAGGAGGGCGGCTGCATAATCCCCAGAGCCAGAGAATTAAAGGGGAATGACACCCGTTTATACCCAGCATCAACATGCAGAATGTAAATAAGTGATGGGAATAAACATTCACATAAAGCTACTTAAGTGTAATTGTTGGTACAGTTTGCTGAGGGACTGTTCTTTATTTATCAGAGGACAGCAGTTGCATAATCCCCAGAGCCAGTAGATTAAAGGGAATGACACCCAGTTATACCCGGGAACAACATGCAGAGGAGAGGTGGTGGGGAAAGGCATTCACATTAAGCTACTCAAATATAATCTGAACATTTCTTAGGGACTGTTCTTTATTTATCAGAGGAAGGGTAGCATTATCGTGGGACCTCGCTGAACTAAAGGGGAGTGACACCCGTTTCTACCCGGGAACATGCTGAGGAGGAAAAAAAAAAAACATTCACATAAAGCTACTTAAATGTGTGGTAAACAAAATTTAGGGACTTTACTTCTTTACTTCGCAGAGGAGGGAGGCTGCATATTTCCAAGAGCCAGAGAGTTAAAGGGGAATGACACGTGTTTAAGCCTTAAGACATTTAAATGTGGTAAACCTCACTAAGGGATTGTTCTTCATTTACTGGCACTGTTGAAGTAGAAATTAAACAATATTCCATGACCGTACTTCGGTAAAAGTGAACGTAGAGACGTGATTAGACGCAAATTGCCACCGGATGCCGCAATGGATGCAACGCAAAATACGAACGAAGCAAGTAGCGTGATTTTGCATCATGCGCTTTTCGTAAGAGTTGAAAATCGTGCGGCGATGGTATGACGTGAGGACATACCAGCAGAAGCTTATTCAGCTATTCAGTGATTTCACGCGCTCATGACGGGAGTTGTTCATGTGAATGAGGCGAGTCAACACAAAATATTCCAGTGATCAAACTCGCGGAGTAAGGGGACGTGAAAATTCGCATCGCATTAGGTGTGAACACGACAGTATAGTTATTCGAAGCGGAGGTATCTTCAGCTTCTTATTCGTACCCTTCATTCTTTAAATAAACCTCATGTATATTGTTACAGCTAATCATTTTGTTTGTGTGTAAAACCTTCATCAGCAAACTAACCAGTCATTACAGCAGTAAGATGAATGTGCAGTTAAAAAGGTATATAAGTTGAAATGTCATGCAGTCGAGGTATAAAAATGGAAATCATGAATCAAAGTAGAAGTGCTTCAGTAAATGCACCACTGGGATTATCCTGTGTTTCTGCCTCAGGGAACGATGAGATAAAAATAAACATTGATCGAATTTTTTAGAGAGAAAAAGAAAAGGAAAGGTACGGGAAGTAACTTGACAGAGAAGAAGCGAGCGGAGGTGGAGGCGAGGTAAAGTGGAGGTCACATACTGTGAGTGTTGAGCAGACAGTTACCCTGGGCTGGTTTCAAAGTATGAATTGTTAACTCAGAGCTTTTTGTGATTCCAGGATAAATCTGCCCCGAGCTCTTCCTCAGAGTGTTCGCCCGGGGCTCAGATGGGTCGTCAGCACGATGGAGGAGGAAACTGAAGTGAACTGGAGGCTTTGGACGGAGTCTTTTCTGCACCAGAGGAGGTTTCTGGACAGATTCTTCATCCTCCCTCGAAACATAACCAGCAGAGTTAAGATGATCCATGTAGGGCTTGTTTTTGATCACAGACATGTTAGCAAAGGTTTCTGCTCCCTGACTTCAGAGGAAACTGTGTGGGTTCAGTACATTTACCGAAATACTGTCCTCAAGTACAATCCTGGGATTCCTGAGGTATTTTACTTGAGTATTCTAACGTCATTCTACATTTAAGTATTATACATTTAACTCCACTACTGAACCTTTATCGGACAACTACAGTGACTCTGCAGAGAGAGATTTTAGAATTCTGTCCACTTTATTTGGAGCACCTCCAAATCTGAGGTTCTCTGCCATCAAATGTTGGATTGTGCCCTCTGGGTTGGGAGTGAGTTACTGTCTCAATCGAAGGAGTTTTGGTTGGAGGATGTGCAGATCGGTAGGCAAACTGTAGCAGGTCCACTGTGCCGGTTAGTGAGGAGCAGATGTGATCCTTCATCAGCCGTTCAAAGAACGTCATCACTGCAGAGGTAAGAGCCACTAAAATGTAGTGGAGTAGAGGTATAATGCAGCATAGAATAAAAGTACTCAAGTACAACTACCACAAAACTGTACTAAAGTAAATGTACTTACTTTTCACAGATGAAACTTTGTGATATTTCATCTACAGACAACACCAACAGACGCCATCCAGCGGCGTATCCTTCCACCGCAACAGGTGTCATCCAGCCACGTTACAAACTGACGCCCAGCAGCATATCATAGCACTGTGAAAGGTGGCATTTGGCTTCAGAGTCAGACACCGAAATCACTGACAAAGCGGTGGTATTTGGCGAGTTCAGAGTGAGAACGTGTTGAATATCCATATATCCATCCAACACATTCTCATCCCAAGATGTCACATATCGTGGCTTTGTCAGAGGACTTTCACGTCTATATATCACGTGCTAGGTGTTGTCCTGCGTCTGCTGTTGATGTTCTGGAATGCTGCAACCAATGCCAGGATGTCAACTATAGGGACTGTCCAACTCCCTTTATTACTTTGTTGCTTTTGGCGTAGGTTTCTGAGGCACAAATCACTGACAAAGCGGTGGTATTTGACGAGTTACAGGATAACTCTGGTATTTTTCAACCTGGGCCCTATTTCCCCATGTGTACGTGTGTGTATGATTCATAGGTACAACTGGTTCTAAAATTGGTTCAGTATTGAGGGAGGCGGGAGCCGCGAAACGAGCTAAAGCGGTGATGGGGGCAAATGCGTCCCGTATAAGTTTGCGCATTAAAAGTGCTTTTTAATTTTAATTTATCTCTGTAAATAGCATAGTAAGCGTTTCCCTTACCTCTGGGCTGTGATGTCATCTCGCGAGAGCTTTGCTCCACTGTGTCTGTAGCTCTCTCTACTCGTGGGGCAGCCGTTTTCTTGAGGAAGAGGTGTTTTGGGATTGGATGTCTTCTCTTCTTCGGCTGGCTGTAGTCATCTTGGGAGAAGTGAGCACTGCAGACCCGATGGTCTGCAAGGCGCAGTGTCTGGACAGGAGTGTTAGCATCCATTTGTAGCACAACTAGCCACAACTTCAGCATCTCGCCGTCCGACAAAGGCAGCCTATGAAAGCTGTACGGGGTGTTGCGCTACATCCTGTTCTTGCAATTCAGATAAGCACAAACACGAACCATTGTTTTCAATCGATGCAGTAAAACTCTCAACTGTACTCCGGGACAACCAGCGCCACTCTGAGCGGCGCTCTGCATGGCTCCTCTGTTTTCTTCCAGCAACAAGCAAAGCTCTCGCGAGATGACGTCACAGCCCAGAGCAAGTGAAGGGTAAGGGAAACGTTTAGTATGCTATTTACAGAGATAGCAC